CGTCAAGTGAAGATCACGGATCGCACCCGCACACCCCCTGGACGGCCTCGCCGACCGCGCGCGGGCTCCACGGCGCAGCCTGCGGCTCCCGGGCTGCGAGCCTGTGCGGCCTGTGACCACAGAACAGCACGAGGTTAAATCGGCACGCGGGGGATGATGCCGTCAGGACACGTGGTGAACACGGACGGGTGGGGCTGCGGCCGAGGAATGCGGCCGACGCTTCAGGGCGAGAGCCGCAGCACAGCAGCACAGAAGCCGCGACGGGCCCCCGGCTGTGCGCGGCACGGCCGCCAGGGCTGCGTGGGCTGCGTGGGCTGCACCGCCGCCAGGGCTGCGCTTCCACAGGACTGCGGCGCAGGGGCCTGCTGACACCAGCGGCACCGCACGCGCGGCAGGCACTGTGCGGGGATACTAAGATACCGCCTGGCGACAGGACTTCTTCGGCCCCATTGTAATTTACGGGGCCGCCAGCCTAAGCGCGGCCTGTGGCTGGCGGGGCCGTCGCTGAGAGCGCACGACTGGGGTCCCTCCTAAGCTCAACCAACGAAGGCAGACTTCAAGCACTGACTTACAAACTAAGAGAGAGATTTGAGTTTGGATCTTGCATATGCCACTCACCAGTTCAGTGACCCTCGACCAGTTATTTAATCTCTATGACTCATTCTCCTCACCTGCAGAATGGAGACGATCATCCCTACAGCTTCCCAGTGGTCACGTGCACAAAATGAGACACTGCTCCACAGCAGAGAGTGGGCAGTGCTTGGTACAGAGAAAGAGCTGATCAAATGTGAGCTCCCTTCCCGTTCCCTAATGCACCATAACATAATGTGGTATTTAGAATTTTAATTCAGGCAATTACTTAAGTAGTAATTGCTATTTGTATTTACATAGCTGCTTTGATCCAAGAAGCTCCAAGGGCTTTACTAAATTTAGCATTTTAATAAATGTTTCATTTGCATTCTGTTGGTTTTGTTTACTCACACCAAAACTTGGAATTTCCTACAGCAAGATAGACAAGTTAAGAAAATAAGATAATATTGTCATGTTTACAGGCATCCTAGGTCTGAGTTTTGTCATTTACCTAAGAAGCCCTGCCTCCCCGTGGGTCCTGTGGAATAAAATGACAGGAGTCAGGAATGTGTCTTTTCCTCAGTCAGCTTCCTTCAGCCTCCGCCACTGAAATCATCCCCACTCCCACTTCTCTCAGGCGCTGTGGACGCAGGTACGTTTACTGCACAAATGAATTTATATATAATCAGCACAATAAACGTGATTAAATTGTCAGAAGAAAGTCAAAGCATGAAGCCCAGCGCCGGTGCTGAATCCTGAGGATGCTGACTGACTGCACATGGACAGGATGTGAGGAGGCCTTGACCCGGGCGTTGGTTCTGCCCCGAGGACAGGGGCCGCTCACCCAGTCCCAGGGGGAGGGGTGCGGACCCTGCGCAGCAGGGAAGTGGGTTTCTATTGGCAATCTTTACCAAAGTGTGTTTTTTCCCTTCTCTACACTCAAGGGTTTACCCTGAATGATTTAATTATAATTTTCCTTGTGTAAGACAAATTAAAGAGGAGAGTGGGAGTGTCGTGCCAAGCGCGTTATTTATCTCTGTAACAGGCTGCAGCTCACCAAAGCCCAGAGCTGCCGGCGCAGCGGCTGCGAGGCCGCGGCAGGACGCGCAGGCCAGAGGGGAGAGGGCCCCCAGACCGGGACACGGGTGGCCAGGAGGCAGCAGGCGTCGTCCTCTGCGTCCCCAACAAAGCCCTCGCGATACGGCCTTTTTCCAACCAGCTTTCACAAAGGGCACTCCCAAATCCTTTCAGAAAGAAGGCTGAAGCTAAGATTAGAGTTGGAGGGGTGGGTTCTCACTCAGAGCGGCGGGGCTCTAGCCCTGCAGACGCTGCTCAGGAACCCGGCGGGGAAGGCGCGCCGCACCGGCAGGGAGAGAGCACAGAAGCCCACGGGCACGGGGAGGGCAGGGCGCGCTCTCGCCAAGGGACTCCTAAGGCAACAGCAGCTCTGGGCGTCAGTGGCAGCTTTCTGACCATTTCCACTATTTAAGCAGGACAGCACACACATGGTTTAAAAATTAACCATAACAAGGTAACCATGTAACATTCATTGTAAGGGCCTATACTTACACGATAGTTGGATTTTTAATGGTCAATTCTGTAAGGTGGTAACTTTTTAATTATCGTCAACCTCAGGCACTCATTTGTCTTATTTGCTAATTAGAATTTTCCTTTAATCCAGCCACATCTAGGAGTCTACCAGGTAATACAACCGGAGAGAAGTGGTAGCATGTAATTCCACAGCTGTTTCTTCTCTGCACATCCAACTGGAAAACTCAGCCTGTTTTCACACCCAGGTGAAGGCTCTAAGACCCGCGCTCTTTTCCGATCCACACTCTGACTCTGACATGCAGTACACTGAAGACCATGTAAAGTTTGTGCAAACAAGTATCATAAAAAAAGAGCCAAACAAACTTACTCTCCTGGGATCAGACCGCCTCTCAGATCCACTTACCTTCAAATGTGCTTTAGGATATGAAAAGGGCTACTGTCCCCCCACTACCTCACTGCCGGCCCGTCACCTGGGGCAGACACACACCTTCCAGAGCGAAACTGAGCACGCTGCGCCCACATAGGAGCCTGTGCCACGGAATCTGTGTGGGCTCCACCACGGCCCGCACGCTGGCGACAAGCACCTCGGGCTCATCGGCGGGCACTTCCCTGCCACTCCGCCACCTTGCAGTAAATGGGAGGCAACGGCCTGAGGACACCCAAGCAAGCACAACAAAGGACCACAGACTAGAGCCTTCTCTTCAAAGCTATCTAAGGGTTAGTATGTTTTTAAATAACAAAGACGTTATAAGAGATTATAAAGCAAGAGCTCAGGTGGGCTTCCAGATGTGCTGATCTGTCCCAACTGGAAACAAGAGCAGCCATGCTTGGGCCAGTGGCCCAGCGGACTCTCACTGTCCACCGTCCCATTCTGCAGACGCTTCTAAACCAGTCAGCCTCAAGCACCACTCAGTTCTTCTCTGTCTTCCGCAGAAACTCCTAGCTGATCTTAAAATGTGAATTGCAAGGTTTGGTTGAAACAGATACAAATCTCATTTTAGGAATCTCTCGTGGGTTTTACGCTTAAATGCAATACAAACACACACACACGTATTCAGGTAATGTTTTCTGTGATTACTAAGCTATATAAATGGATAAAATGCTGCTGGTATAAAGATACAAATCTAATTAAACCAGTGGCCTTCCTGATATTTGCTATTTTAAGAAATATATAACATTATATTTTTAATTACTTAAGTGAAAACATAATTTTAAAACTTTCACTGAGTCACTTTTATGAAAAACAAAATATAAAACTTGTTTTTTCTCATGGAAATGAGAGTGACCCTCACATGTTACTTCTAAGGCTTCTTCTGTCTGTGGAGCTCTGCATTATGAAATATATAGGACACTGTTTAAAAACAGTGAACTAAAAAAAGACTTTTAAAGATCATTACTTATATACATATCTTCTCTGTCTGAAAAGCCTTCCGCAGTGGTGTTCATGCTCCTTGGCGCTAAGATGCAATCATGGACCCACAGCTTCCTTTCCTTAGCACTGTGGCCCCTGATGGGTCTCTGAACAGCCTCAGCTCTACTTCCAAGGGAAGCTCAGGGCACTTTTAACAGTAGAGAGTTAACTTCCAAGTAGAAATATGACAGGTGAGACACTGCTGCAGTGTATTCCACAGTCAAGAGAAGGTGCGCTGTGTAGGTCCGTGTGTGTACATACACAGGCCCCTTCCCTCTCTCCAGCCTCAACCCTGCACCAAGGGCTACTTTTAAGGCGGCCATGCACTTTGGGGTCATAGTGATGAAAAAGATGGACCCCCTGTCTTCGAGGAGGGCAGTGCATAGTAGTATAAGTTCTATTTTTTTCTCAATCCATGATTCAAAATTGCCCACAGTGGGTAGTGCTAGTCCCTGAAAGGGTGTTTAGAGCCAAGGCTTGTATGAGTGAGCCCTTGGCAGAAAGAAGAAACCTGGAAGCCCTGAAATCCAACCCATCCAAGAGGAAACCAAAAGACTCTGCCTGGGTTCCAAAGTTTGGGTTAGATTGACATACGTGCTAATTCCACGTTGAAAAGGTGAAAACAAGGAGATGCTCCACACCCAAACAATGCAGGACACATTCTTTAGTAATTACACGCACATTCAGGTCCCATGGAGCCAATGAGGGATCCTGGAGACACGGTGAGGCACGGCCACCCCCCTCCACGTTACAGTGTTGGCCGCATCTCAGTGGCTCGCTCCTACCTTTCCCGTTTGGGGGTGTGGACTGAAAGCTGTCCATTGGTAGAGGCATGCGGGTTCATTATTAAGGAGGTCTTGGGAGGGGCAGAGGAAGAGACACACGTGGTCGTGGTCAGGTCCAGGCTGCTGTGACTGCTGCCTGTGGTCTCTTCTGCAGTGTGAGCACTCGTCACTTCTTTCCAGAGCTGCTGCAGCTCTGTTGGAATCATGCCTGAAACAAACAAATTGGATAATTAAATCAATTAACAGCCAATTTCGTCCACTTCAAACAGTAATTAAATCAAAGAGTCAGTAAACAAAGCCCAGTGTGGGGGTGGGGATGCGAGGTTGTCTTTCCCACCCAGCGGAAGCTAACAATGGCGGTGACCACCTGTCCTCCCGAGCGCAGGGGAGGTGTCCTCCAAGCACAGCTCTGCCAGCACAGTGTGCCTCCATCCAAACTGTGGCTTCCAAGTTTTTTTTTGGGGGCGTGGGGGGATGGATAGATGTAATATATTTTTAGACACAAAAAAGGACTCAAAATAAACGTATTCAACAATATTATTATGATAACATGAACCAAAAAATGAAAAATTTTTGTGCTTAAGTCTTAAATGATGACAAATAGCTTTGTTATTAAATACAGTTTTTATTAATCACTTTAAGACATAAATTATGAATTCATATCGTCTTCCTGAAATGCTTTTCAACTTTTAACAGTCAAATTGATTATACTATGATTATTTCATTAACACACCTATCTTCCTCATTAATTTTGGTTTCTAGTACCACATGCTTAATTGATGGATGTGTCTACTGAAAAACTGTGTAACTTCTTATACAAGTAACACTATTATTACTGTCATTTCTTAGATCAATGCTAATGAACCGTTGCACAATAAAATGAAAATGTAAAGTTAGAGTAATAAAGTTCTCTTGTTTTTTAAAGGGGTCAAAGTGGACATGGGTCTTAAGGAGTAAGTATCAACCTATATTTTAAATCTCCAAGAAGACATACAATCAGCCTGCTAATCTCACTACTGTGGCCTCATCGCCTTGATTCTTGTGGCATGCCTCTACAGCCCGACTTCCAGCCCTACCTCCATGCACACCCCAGTGCACACAGGCACAGGAAAAAAATATTCTAAATGACAAGTAACAACAAACTCAGCTGCTTTGAAAGGACCCTTAAGAGAAATCATGGCCCTGTACATCACAAGGCAATCCCATGTTAGAACTGGGCATCTGGGTTGCAGTCCCTGGTTTCAGCCAACGGACACAGCTCTGCTGGAAAGCTGGTCCTTTTCTGACTACACAGCAGCAACTGAAACAGGCATGCTTCTTACCAAGTCTAAGGTATTGAATTAAAAAAGAAGGCTGTGTGCATTATATTCATTTGAAACACATAATAAAAAATGCCAAGGTCTAAATTTAATTTATTTTTGTCATTTAGAATACAATGGATAGATAATCATCTCAACGTGATCAGCCAAACATCTTTACTTTGCTAAACTGTTAAAGATTTTAATTATGCCAGCATTGGAGAGCACTGGTCTAATGAGGCGGTGGACTCCAGAGAACCGAGTGGTTAAGAACTGTGAAATGAGTCTGATAGGATTTTTTTATATTCACCGTGGATCGTTTGCATATCAAAGAGGAGTAAATTATTGCACAGCAGACCAATAACCTTCTCCGCCTTTCTGAGAGGAGTTAACAAAAACAGTTGATCTCTCCTAACGGTTCTCCACAAAAATGTTCAAATACTTAAGGATTTGCAATTAATATATACTATAATGGAGGCTTCAAATGATACATTAAGTGGTCAGATATTCTTAGAACGCATCCTCAACAGCCAGGTCGGTTTTCTTCTTCCTTCATAAAAATCAAATGCCAATTATATTTTGATGGATTTTTGTCCCAAATGAGCATTAGTTATTAGGCATATTCAATTATTACTTGTCCCTTGAAATTAAACCTCGGAGGCAAATTAAACAAAGGGAAAGGTCACTACAGAATAATCCTGCGTCCGGGCGATTATTTTCAAACACCTTGTGAAGTGACAAGCGGGACGTGTTTGTAGCTAAGGGACCTGCCACTGATGTCTGCACACCCACAGCTACCTGTGAACGCGCTGACCCTGGATCGCTGTTTACCCAACTGAAACAATAGTGAACAGGCCTGTCTGCCCGAGACAGCATACTGATACAGAGCCACACAGGCCAACAGCATATTGATACAAAGCCACACAAGCCAACACCTACTTTTATTTTCCAGGGAGTAAAGACACTTGAAAACAACATGCCATCTACTTTTCCACGCAAACTAACTGGCTCTGGGTCAGCTGCACTGGAAGTGGGAAAGGAAAGTTGGAGGAAGCAGAGTCTAACAACCGTGTTAACACTTTAGCTCCGAAACAAAAGAGCAGAACTTACAAGTCATTTAAAAAATTAAGTGAAATAAGCCTGCTAAAAAAATTAAATAAAAACTGAAACTAAGCTGTGTATCCAGCAAATAAAGACAGAGACAAAGGTCTTGTTACACTTGTTACACCTCCAGAGAACTCTCCTCCCCTCTCCTTCTGAGGGGCCAGCCAGTTTCATCCCCCATAGGGAGAAATGGTAAATAAAATGGTAACTGGTGGGCTTCTGTGTCAAACTTCAATATGATAATTACATTTAAGAACATTCTCATTGGATTTAGAAGGGAGCAGTCAAATCAGCTCCCTCCATCAGTGCCACACCTGGTTAGTGTTGTTAAACTTTGAGTTCCATGAATACTACCTACCAGTGGATGCTGTTATTTGAATGCCAAGACCTCATGACAGAATTAAGACAGATAAAATGTAGGCTAGTCATTCATCAGACTAAATGAATATCAAATTTCCAGAAAGCAAGCATTCCTTCCAAAATGGAAGACAGTAATACTTGTACTGAGCTAAACAAATCCATTAACAGGCACATAATTGAGCAATAAAGTTTCTCCTATCTATAGTTTACACTTACAAATTAAAAAATCAGAATGATATTGAAAGTATATTTCTATATGGAATTACTGGTGCTGGGAAGGATCCTATGATGAAAGAGACCAAGGAGAAAACAGATACACTAATTATGTAAAACAGAGAGAAGGCCCTGTAATAACCTTACAAACAACAAAAATATACCTACATTTCATAACCTCCAGGGGATAAAAGGCCTTCAAAACACTGCTCTCTCTCTACTCCTATACTTTGATATTTACGTACACGCTTAGGGTAACTTACCCAAGGCCAGGAAGCAGGTATGTAAAAGAATATCCACGACTGTATCACGAAGTGGGTATTTCCAGCTATTTTAACACATACCCCTTGGCCTTGCTACCTTTCTTTTTTCCAGGATAACTGGCCCCTTCATTATAAAAGAAAATGCAGACACAGGTTTAAAAAATGTATGTTGTGGGGACAGTTGACAGATTACTGTTCATGGAACTCAATTTTACAACCCCAGGTATCACTGGCTCAAGACAAACAGAGCTGCTCAACCTTTTTTGTCCTTGCACACCCATGCCCAGGTGACCGTGTTCGAGCAAGCAGAAAGTTGATTTAAACCTCATAATGACATCAGTTTTAAGCCATTATCTCTCTGATACAGAAAAAACTGTGTTGCAGTCCAACATGACTGAATTCTCAAGTCACTTGGGGCAAAGGGGTAGGGGAGACAACACCAAGCTCCTGATCCCCCCAAAGATGGCCATGACACTGGTAGTTCCCCTCACCGCAAGCACCGGACTCCAGAAATATTTATGTTTATGCCTCCTGGGCATACATAAAGGCACCCTTTGGATTTTAAATACGCGTCTTCTAATGCTGCAGGGACTAATCATTATGGCACACTGCTGAGCATATCAATCAGCGCCGTGACCAGCGAATTACCTACCAGTGTCTCTGATATGTTACTGCAGAGATTACACTTCATGCATCACCACATTCATTTCTTTCACATTACACATGAGCTTGTCTTGTCACTGCCCAATTGCCCTCTTTTGGACAGCTTCACTGATGTACTACAACAATGAGCCTTCGCGAACAAACTGAACAGTGCAGGAGAAGAGGCAAAAGGTGAGAGGCTGACGCCTAAGTCCAGTGGGTGTGTCAGAACAGCCTGCCGTGCTTACAACAAGGCGTAATTAAAGCACGCTGGAACGTTTTGCAAGTACAAAGATGCATTAGCCAACGTGCCCTTTGTTTTCCCCCTGGCACTGCTCAGTTACCAACTCTTCTACTCTGACAGCAACGGAGAGGCTAATTATGCATCAAGCAGTTGAGCACTCAGGGCACAAAGGGGAGTCAGGAAAAAGCCCTGGTCTCCACAGCAAAAACATCCACCAACCAGCAAAACCACCCCCAGATGGGACAGAAACTGGCTGTGGTTGACTTGAGAGAAATTCAAATGCAGGCGTGCCTCACTGTTCCACCGGACACCGAAGTTTCTGACAAAGGACGGTGCCTTATGCACCAATGAAGGGTGAAGGAGGTTCCCCATTTTCAGCCCTCTTCGGAAGGCAACTGAATCCAAGACACCAAAGGCTTCACTCCTAGCCTTTAAGGCTTATGTATACATCCATCCAAACTTATTAGAGCTGAAGGGCCTGGGGGCCGGAGGAGACGGACCAGCTGTAGCAGGGACGCACAGAGACGCATTTCACAGCACAGCTCGGCACTGCTTCTCTCCTCCTTCCCGGTTCAGAGAGTCCATGTGCATTCACTTTACACATGTGAAAGACTTGCTTAAACCAAGAGAAGGTCCTAAAAACAGCCAGAGTACTTGTTTGTTTCTCATGCCCGACACCCACTGGAATGGCATGTCAATTTTTAAAGAACCCCCGATTTTGGAGAGGAGTAGACCTATAAATGCTGCCTGTTATGATGAATGGACTAACCTGCTCAAAAATCAACCATCAGAGGGAGGGGAAAAAAAGAAAAAAGAGAGAAAGGCCAACAAAAAACGTTCGTTTTTTTTAACAGAAAGATTTTAATCTTAACTGTTTACACAAAATAAACCTGAATCTATCCCTAGATATTAAAAAGTAGCATTTATAAAGCACGACTAAGATTCAGAACAGAGCAAGTTATATGACATGAAATACAGCTTAAAATGACTAAAAAAAAAACCTTCAAGAAAATTTGTGATTCCGAACTGAAAATGCTAGATCTTATGGAAACGCTAAGCCCTGGGAGCACTGCCTTCTCCCCGGGAGTGCGCCCCGGGGGCAGGGCGGCGCCCTCGGGCACCGTGCCTCCCGGGCACCAGCAGCACTGGAGCTGCACCAGGCCCCACACGATGCCTCCCCGCCGTCCTGCGAAGTCTGTGCACACTTCAGACGGGATGCGCTGGAACACGCCGCCGGACGCCCGGACCGTGCCCGTTCCCGAGAGCCCCGCATCCCGCGTGGCCACCACCCACCTTGCGCGAGGGGCTGGAGGGGCAGCGCGGGCTGGCCCGGCTGGAGCGTGAGGAGGCCTTGGCGCTGCAGGGACAGGAGGTGCTGCTGCTGGAGCTGCTGCATCTGCAGGAGCTGCTGCTGAAAGGCCAGCTGCTGGGTAGCCACCTGCTGCTGCTGCAAGAGACCAGGAGAAGAGCGTGAGACGGCCGCGTCCAAGTACAGGTGCACACGGACGTCTGCACCCGCACAGCCCGCGTCCGGCGTGAGAACGGGCACCCGCGGGGGGCTCCGCGGC